GTAATTTTCAAAGATATTAAAGATCATAATGCAAAAAAACTAAATTTATTAAAAGCAATAGGCTTTATGTTTCTTAAACTACCTACATTTGTCAAAGTACTTGTGAACTTTCGAACATATTTGTCCACTAGTTTTATTGTTGGAATGAAATATAGCAAGACTTGCATTGCCTACTAAGAAAGTTAGTAGCCGGTAGTCATCGGGTTAAGCCTTCAGCATCATGAGAAAATGACTCTGCAGGCATGTACATTGGTGGTTGTGCTGGTGATAAGGTGGGGGTCAGTAGATCTGTTGGCTCAAAAAAACATAAGTTCCATTTTAAAATAAAATGTTAGGCCTCATGGGTGATATAAGGTATTTCAAGAAAATAATTCCCTTTCTCCAAATAGTAGGGCACTGCAAAATATATTATTATATATAGGTCTAGGCCTATGAGCATACAGTGGCAGATATGAAAGCAAGCTGTGTATATAGCTCCCCTCTCTTCATCCTCATTGGTGGCACCTGTCATTAAAATAGCTCTTATAGGCCTATATGTTGTGGGGTTACAGTAATAGATCCAGAGGGGGGTCAAGGGATCCCCCTTTGTTGTGTAACTCATTTAGTTTTATGGGTGTTTCAGGTTGTCACGCATTTGTCCAAGGGACCATGTCTTTCTTACCAGAAGATATAGCAACTGGATGGAAGGTAATGCCTTATTTCAGATGCATGAACAGTCTGTCTGACATTGTGAAGCCCAGGTATTATGGAATGAATATACACAAGATGTAGGTGACATACTTGTTTCCAAGTACCAACGAGAAAGAGATGATTGCAAGGCATGCTTGCTAAAACCGATTTCTTGGGAAGGCAAGTAGTTTCAATCAGGGGAAAGGACAACATGGTTTAATTTTACCCAGTTGAACCTGTTGCGAGCTGAGATTGATCCCAAACCAGCCATATGGCTACAGAAGAAAAGAAACAAATATACTTCTGCAGAAACACAAAATGAAATTCTAGACATTATGGGCAATCATATCATAAGGCATATCTTCAAGAACCTGCAACGTTTAAGGCTTTTGATAGTTCTTATACATGAGACAAGCAATATAGGAAATGTAGAACAGGTGACACTGTGCTTCAAATGGTTAGATGAAAACTGTGAAGCCCATAAAGACTTTGTTGGTCTTTATTCTGTGAGCTCAACAGATGCAAGTTCACTAGTTCATGTGATTAAAGATGTGATGCTGAGGGTCAGTTTGACCACAAAAAAGTTATGAGGTCAGTGCTACGATGGAGCAAGTACTATGAGTGGTATCAAAAAGGGAGTATCCAGATAAATCACCAACATCGAACCTAGGGCCCTCTACACCCACTGCTATGGCCATGTGCTAAATTTGCCCGTACATGATACTCTCCGATCAATTAGCTGCCTCCATGATGCTCTAGATTATACTCATGAAATCGTCAAGTTGATCAAGAAGTCACCAGGAAGGGAAGACAATTTCAAAGAGATTAAAGAAGAAGACACTGATGCTGAAGAAAGAACTTCATGTATCCGAGTTCTCTGCCCCACCAGATGGACAGTAAATGGACAAACTATGTTATCCATTAAACAGAACTACAAGTATCTGCAGAAACTGTGGGACACTTCAGGAGAGAAGATTAAGGACCCAGAAATGCAGTACAGAATCATAGGGGTGAATACTATTATGGACAAATTTGATTTTTACTTTGGATTAAGGCTGGGAGAACTCATCCTTTGCTACTGTGACAATTTAAGTAAAGGGGTCCAGACGGCTGACCTAAACGAGCAGAAGGCCAAAATCTGATGGAGAGGGTAAACAGGAAGCTCCAGGGAATTCGTTCAGAGGCAAACTTCAACATGTTTTACCAGAAATGAAAAAAGATGCTAATGCACGGGACATGTAAGCCACAGTTACCTAGAAAAAGAAAACTAAGAAGGTACTGGTGGTGAACGATTTCCTGAGAGTGCTGAGGACAAACTTAGAGCAATTTACTTTGAAGCTCTAGACCCAGTTATATACTGTATAAAGCAACGATTGGCCCAACCTGGATGTAGAATTTACAAAATGTTGGAATTGCTTTCTGATGAAAGCTGCCAACCAGGAAACATGTGACACAGAGATTGACCAAATTATCGATTTTTACAGTGATACAGACAGAGACGAACTAGGAGATGTTAGTGGCTCAAAGTTGAAAGTTCAGCTACAAACTTTAGGAGCATTTTTTCCAAATGGTGTCATAGCAGTAAAGTAAGTTGTTGAAAAGGTTAGAACTATAATTGCTGCTGAGAAAAAGGTTTATGGCAGAAGTTGTAACACTTTGTCAACTGATTGTAGTTATGCCTGCAACCAATGCTGTGTCAGAGAGATCAGATTCACTACACATATTTCTAAAAAAAAACTATTGCATAATATTATAATTATGGTGAATCAAACCGAATTGAAAAAATTATTTGTTTCTGACAAGTGAGTCACTTCACTAATGCAAGTTCAATTAGTTGCTGACAAATCCATTATGGAAGCTTTAAACTAGTTTAAATGTTTCAAAATAATCAATTCACATTTGTCACATTTGAATGAATTCATTTGTGACTTCTCTCAGGTTTAGCTCATCTGTGAAATCAGAATGAAGATGTAAAATCATTAAATGGTTAAAACAATCCTGGGCCATTGTTGCTCTCAAGTAGGTTTTCACAAGTCTTAGGCTGGTGAAAGTTTATACTGTGATAATCCGGTTTACCAAGTTGTTGCTGTGTTGCTCCTCGTCTTGACATTAAATTTGTACATGATAGATTTAATATGTTGCATACATGTTGTTTACTTTGTAAGCTTAGTATTGATTTTTATAGCATGTATTTTTTACTCATTTGTTCTAGTTTATAGACAGTCAATCAAATGTGCCTGAATAGTTCTAAAAGTACTCTATTTTGCTCCATTTTAAAGTAAATATTTCATAAAATTTCCGCATCATAGGAGGGAGAGACCTCATCTCACACACACTCCAAAAAAAACACCATCAGGCACTATACGCCATCGATTTTCTCGCTTCTCTCGCAGACATCGAACCAACTTCAATTTTGTAGCTACGCCTCTGTGTTGCCATAGAGAACAAGTTCATGACAGCAACTGTATCATGT